ACACACACACACACACACACACACACACACACACACACACACACACGGAGCCAGGCTCATGCCTATAATCCTAGCTACTCAGGAGGCTGAGATCTGAGGATTGCGGTTCAAAGCCAGCCTGGGCAGGAAAGTGAGACTTTTTTTTTTTTTTGGTTTTGGGGCTTGAACTCTGGGAACTGGAAGTGTTCAGTTTTCTGGTACTTAATTGGAGATAAGAGTCTCATGGCCTTTCCTGCCTGGGCTGGCTTTGAACTACGATCCTCAGATTTCAGTCTTCTGAGTAGGATTAAAGGCGTGAGCCAGCAGTGCCAGGCTTGTGAGACTCTTCTCTCCAATTAAATCACTGAAAAAACCTGCAGTGTCACTGTGGCTCAAGTGGTAGAGTGCTAGCTTTGGGTAAAAGGAGCTCAGGGACACAGCCCAGACCCAGAGTTTAAGCCTCAGAACTTGGGGGGAGGTACGTGCCAACATCTGGCACCGTGGCTGGCCTAGTGCAAGAGACAAGCCCACTCCAACAATAACAAATACTACTGAGGATGAGTACTGAACACAGAATAGCTTCTTGCTCATCTTGAGGCCCTTGAAACTCCAAACTTGTCACAGAGGCTCAGTAATATCTTAGGACTTGAGTGCTTCCTTCCAAATCATTTTTACAGAAATCTTAGCCAACTTCTCAACCTGCTCTGGAACCTGGAACAAAAAGGTGCTGGGGGCAGAGAACTCAAGGAGGTAGATAATCCAAAAATAATTGATCCCAGGTCGTGGAAAGCATTTTGTTTACTGCAACAGGCTGACCTTCCCAATTATCATCTGCTTAGGCTAATGTTACAGCCTGCCCCTCCCCAGCAGGCAGGATCCTGTGTGCTCACAGGTCCTACAGGGGACAGAGACAGAGTCAGGCCCAGGCTAAGACTGCTGAGTGGTAACTTGAGGCATTGATGGCCCAAAGCAAGGTCCCCAGTGGGACCTTTGGCTCCAGGGGCACCAGGTCATATGCTACATCTAGCACCCCTTGTTTGGTATGAGGCTGCCAAGGGCGGTTGTTTGTAGAAATGTTTTCAGGAGCAGAAGCCACTTCTGCAGAGCAGAGAAGATCTGGCCAATGCTTAAATCATCAGATCCTGAAATTCCCCAACCATTTCTAGACCCAGCCAGCCTTGTGAAAAAGCCTTATGCAAAAGGTGGAGGATCACCTTTGTACACATGAGCAAACTGGCTTCCAACAGGTAAAGCTACTTGTCCCAGGTCCTCGGCCTCTTCCTAACACTTCACTGGTACCTGGCCAGCCCTTTCCACCACCGAGTGGCCAAATGGTTCAATCTCCACCAAGCTTTTTGGAAGACTCTCCCTTCAATCTCATCAGATAAGCAGGTGAATTTGGCATCCTAGGCAACTCAGCTACCTACTGGAGATCAAAGGTCAGTCATGTCATCGAGTTTGGTTTTCCAGGTCTTTAGGAAGGAAGCCCTTTGGGGGCAGGAAGCCTGTTGTGCTGACTCATAGGCCAAGGGAGAGTAATTCAGGAAGCTTGTCACTGTTACCAAGGGCTGCCTGGCACCCCTTCCTTTCTGAGGCTCACTGAAAGTCTGGGTGGCCTAATAAGGGTGGGGCCTGGTCAGACTTCCCACTACACACAAATCTCTCCCAGAGAATTCCAGTTCGGTGGCCAATGGATAATTAATTACTGTCTTGTAACCTTGGAATGTAGGCTGTGCCAAGTCTCCCCCTTTCTTGCCAGTAGAACTTAGGGGTGCTACCAAACCTTCTCCACCCAGGCTAGGGAAAATAAGGTGTGGAAGAGATTAGTGTGTGGAAGCCAAAGCTCACCAATGTCACTGCTGCCCTGGGCCTCTCAACTTCCTCCACTGTTTTAGCAAGAGGAAGGATGAGAACTTGAAAAGACAAGGCAAGTGTCATTCATCTGTCCCTTACCTCTACTGGGGCAGAAAGGGGCAGCTATAATTTATGACCCCCAAGGAAAAGCAATCAGGTATCCCATTATCCTAAACCCAGAGGTGACTCCCTCCTTGTACGATATAGAACATTTTTTTTCTTGGCTTCAAAGACACTTTTTTTGCTCTTTCCTATTCTCTATAGCTGCTCCGAACTGTTCATGTCTGGAAACTGACACACATGCTTAAGTTCTGGATGGCAGCATACCTGGGTTCCACTCTACCGGGCGAGGTGTGTGCCCTTGGGAAAGTCTCTTGACAAAATCTGAGGAGTGAGGGCATCCATAAAGTGCTTTATAAATGTCTACTGTTCACAGAGATTCCTCAGGCACAAAGTACTGACTGGTTTCTTAGAATTTGAGAAGGACAGAAAACAGAGGGATCATTTTGCCCTCAACTAAAAACTTGGGGGCTACTCCTTTACTTTCACTCTGTCTCTGATATCCTCTTCTGGGATCCTTCAATTTCATTCTCAAAGTCATACAATGTTTTTCCTTTCAATACTGGGGTTTTGAATTCAAAGCTTTGTGCTTGCTAAGGCAGGCACTCCAGAGAAACTTCTGAAAGAAGTCTTCCTTTACCACTTCCAAAATGCGATGTCCAGAAAAAGACAGTGACTGGCTTGAGGTGACACAGGTTTCAAGTGACAGAGCTAGGAGCGGTGGGTGCTTCCTCATGTTCAATCTCCTGTTCCCACTGTGGCCCAGTGCACTCTGGGACTCTAAAATATTCAGGCTCCACAACACTGGTCCACTTGTTTGCAGAACACAGGGAGAGACCCAGACACACTCCCTTCCCACGAAAACACGGAGGGTGCAGCGCCACTCCCTTCCTCAAGGCCAAGGACATCGCTCCCACAAGCAGGAGGGAGGAGTGGTATGGCGGGCAGACCCCATTCAGGCAGGCTGAGGTCACCCAGAGTAATGATAATGGACTTGTTATGTAGTATCCTGCCCCAGAGAAACTCCAAGGTTTCAGACCAAAGGAATTCCCAGCCCCTCTTTTGGGTTCCAACCTGCAAACCTCTGAAGCTCCACCCCTCTCAGGCTTCTCAGGCCAGGCCCTGGAGACTGCGGAGGGAATGGGAGGGAGGCCGGGAAGGAAATAGGCTACCCCTTAATCAAGCAAGAGTGTTCAAGGGGAACACTCCCACCCTCCTCCCCCACACCTTGTGACTCAGTGGCAGGTCTCTGAAGAAAGTGAGGGTGGAGAATAACTGTCACCCCCCCACCCCCAGGTTGAGGCTCAGGGAAAATGTGGTGGAAAGAAGATATCAGGAAATCCCCTCTACTAGATGCTAAAAGACCTTGGCCAATGAATAGCTTCTGATCTCAGGTTCGAGGGCACAAGTCTTCATAGGACGCCAGTCCCCAAACGGGCCGGACTCTTATTAAAGCACCCTCCTTTCCCCGAACGCATCATTCTTTGTGTCCACCCCGTTTCCCGGCCGGTTCTGCACCGGATCTGCCCATGTGAAGGCCACCTGGACCCCTGGCACGTCTTCTCATCCGTCCGTCACTCCACGCCACCTCCACCCCTCCAGCGTCCATGCACGACCGCTTCTCACCAGCTCTTCCCCTTCCCCTGGCCCGCCCAGCCCGCTCCCCAGTGGGCCCCGTCGGGGCTGCGGCCAGGGGAGGGGGGGCAGGGCGGCCCAGGCTCACCATGGCGAAGCCGGAGAGCAGAGCCGAGGTCCGGCTGGAGGCTTTGAGCTTGGCGCGACTCAGGTAGAGCTTGCGCCAGGACAGCGCCTGCATCGAGTGCTCGTTGAGACTCATCACCTCCGAGTAACTCTGGCCGATCCAGTCCGGGTAGGTGACGGCGTGCGGCGGCGGCGGGGCCCCCGGGAGCTCCCCGTCCCCGCTGCGGCGGCGGCTCCGACGGCTGCCGCTGGTGGAGTTGCTGCCGCTGAGGGGAAGCTCGGGGTGGCTGGTGCTCGGGGGCGGGGCGGGCTCCGGATGCATGGAGCACGCTGCGAAGGCAGCGGCCCGGGTCCCGCCGCACCTCCGCCTGCCCCCCGCCCCTACGCGGGCCCGGCCGCACTGAACCCGGAGTGGAGCGAGCGGACACCGCACTAACTCGCAGGCCCGCAGCGTTGCGCCGCCCCGGTCCGAGAGCCCCAGGCGACCGCGACGCTAGCCGGCGCTCGGACGGGCGTCCGGTCTCCGATCCGGACCCTCAGCGCGCGACGTGATTGGCCACCGCCCTTGGATTATTTGCATGCACCACGCCCACCCAGTGCCCAGCAGGCGGTGCCTGCGCGTGGTCACGTGATCCGACGCCTCCGGACAGTCCCGCCCTCGGTCCTTGGCGCGACGCCGCCGCCCGCTCCCTCCTCCGGAAGCGCCCAGTGAGGGTTGGCGTCGCCTCTCACGGGCGCCTCGGCTCTGGTGGCCCGGCTCCCTCAGCAGCTCTGCTAGGCCGGACCGCCTAAGGTCACCCCTGGGAACCTCTTGAGGCCCAAGGAACAGGTGGCGTCAGGTCTGCTGGAAAAAGAGCAAGCTGAAGTCTAGCGTTCGCTCAGGTGCAGAGGACAGGTAGGCTGGTGCCGGCTCTGAGAGGAAGAGCCACTCAACACCGAGGAGCAAACGACAATAATTTACAGGGTTGTAAATGCACAAAGAAGCAGGGTCAGGGAGGTTAGGACTGAGATGGCCATTTTCTGTCTTTTTTGTCGGTTGTGAGGCTTGAACTCTGGGCCTGGGCGCTGTCCCTCAGCTCTTCAGCTCCAGGCGAGCGGTCTACCCCTTGAGCCACAGCGCCACTTCCGGTTTCCTGGTGGTTCATTGGGGATAAGAACAGGCAGGCTTTGAACCGCAGTCCTAAACCTCGGCCTCCTGAGTAGCTAGGATTACAGGCCTCAGCCACACGCGCCTGGCGTGGCCTTTTTTTGAGGCAAGGTCTTTTATGTAACCTAGGCTGGCTCAACCTATTGATTTTTCTTTCTCAGCCTTATGAGTGCTGGGGTTACAGGTGTGTCCTACCATTTCCATATCCATGGTAAATTGGAGCCCTTTTTTTTTCTTTCATGGCTTTCTTCCTTTTTTTTTCTCTTTCTTTTGTGACTGTACTGGGGCTTGCATTGAGCTCTCACTTTGCTTTTCTGCTCAAGGATGACACTACCACATGTGCCACTGCTCCACCTCTGGTCTTGTGATGACTAATTGGAGATGAGAGTCTTTCTCTCTCTTTTTTTTTTTTTGTCAGTCGTGGGGCTTGAACTAAGAGAGCCTGGGCACTGTCCCAGAGCTTTTTCACTCAAGGCAAACACTCTACATTTTGAGCCACAGTATCACTTCCATTTTTTTTTTTTTTTCCTGGTGGTTAAATCGGAGGTAAGAGTCTCTTGGACTTTCCTGCCTGGGCTGGCTTCCAACTGCAATGCTCAGATCTCTGCCTCCTGAGTAGCTAAGATTACAGACATGAGCCACCAGCGCTCCACTTGGTTTTTCTTTTTGAGGGCATCTCTTACTATGTAGTCCAAGCTGGCCTCAAACACATGATTCTAATGCCTCTATCTCTGGAGTCCTGGGATTACTAGCCTATACCACCATGTTCAACTACCCAATAGTTTTTTTTTTTTTTTGGGTCCCGTCGTGGGGCTTGAACTCTGGGCCTGAGCGCTGTCCCTCAGCTCTTCAGCTCAAGGCTAGCGCTCTACCACTTCCGGCTTTTTTCTTTTGCTTATGTGTGCTGAGGAATCGAACTCAGGGCCTCAGGCATGCAAGGCAAGCGCTCTGCCACTGAGCCAACTTCCCAGCCCCCCCCCTTTTTTTTTTAGCCAGTCTTGTGGCCTGAACCCTGGGCCTGGGTGCTCTGCTTGAGTTTTTGTGATCAGGGCTAGAATTACCACTTGAACCACAGCTTTTTTTCCCCAGGTTTTTGATGGTTAATTGGAGATAAGTCTCATGGACTTTTCTGCCTAGGCTGGCTTTGAACCATGATCCTCAGATTTCAGCCTCCTGAATAAGATTACAGGTATGAGCCACTAGTGCCCAGCTTCATGTAGTAGCTAAATTTTAAGATAAGCAAATCTTCAAATCCATTGACCATGTATCTTCTGAGTACATATATATGCTAGACCAACGAGATTTCTGGAAAATAACCTTTATGGGTAGGGGAAAACAATAAACAATTTCATATCTTAGATTTGAGCTACTATTCAAAGAGCCAGGATCTAGCTATCCAGGTTCAAAGGAATTGCAAAGGCAAAGACCATGAAGCAGGGTAACTGTTAGAGCATTAGACGGCCAATTTTGTTTTGGAATGGGGGGGGGGTCAAAGGTGAGGTGGTGTAGAGTACTGGAGTAATGATGTTAAGTCAAAGGTAGGGACCTGTTTGTTTGTTTGTTTGTTTTGTTCTTGGGGCTTGAATTCTGGGCCTGGGCGCTGTCCCTCAGTTCTTCATCTCAAGGCAAGTGCTCTACCACTTGAGCCACAGAGCCACTTCCAGTTTTCTAGTGGTTTATTAGAGAGAAGAGACTCACGGACTGTCCTGCCTGCGCTGGCTTTGAAACTATGATCCTCAGATCTCAGCCTCGTGAGTAGCTAGGATTGCAGGAGTTGGGCCACCAGTGCCCAGCAGGTAGGGAGCTTTATAGGCAGTTTCCAGCTCCTAACATCAAGGATTCAAACATTACTGGTACATTCTTCACACTCAGGAAATACCTGTTGAATAAACACAATTGGAATGAGTGACCATATGTGGCATCCCAGGTCCCTGAGGTGACATTTGATTCTTATTACCACTAGAGGGCAGCCCTCCCTACATCCAATCATGTTAGGAGATAAACATGAAGGTGGTTCCCTTCCCAAGTTTTTGGGAGAGAGAGAGAGAGAGAGAGAGAGTGTGTGTGTGTGTGTTTATGCTAAGGCTTAAACTCAGAGCTTGGGTGCTGCAACTAAACTGTTTCACTCAAGGCTGGTGTGCTCTACCACTTGAGTCACAGCTCCATTTGTGTCTTTTTGGTTAATTGGAGATGAGTCTCATGGACTTCCCTACCTAGGCTGTCTTTAAAGTACGACTCTCATATTTCAGCCTTCTGAGTAGCTGTTAGGTCCACCTGAGTCTGTGTGCAAATCTACATGTAGGTTTCCCCCTACCCCCACTGCCCACCAGTTTTCCAGCACCTGCATTACCTAGGTGACTGGCACACTTGGGCCAGTTACCTCCCCTTTCTCTGAGGTCACATCCTGGACCATCCAAATCACACCTTCTCCCCACCTCTTTCCTATTTAACTCAAACCCTGCCAAGGGTTGGCCCTTTTTTCCAAGGACCTCACTGCAGGGTATGCCAGCAATTTGCTGTCTTCCTAATAAACTTTTCTGCTTGAACCATGTGGTAGTTTCCTTCAGTGAACCTTACAATAGCTAGGATTACAGACAAACCACCAGTGCATGGCTTCCTGGGTGTTTTGTTTTTTTTTTGGTTGGTCATGGGGCTTGAACTCTGGGCATGGGCGCTGTCCCTGCGCTCTTCAGCTCAAGGCTAGCACTCTACCACTTGAGCCACAATGCCACTTCCGGTTTTCTAGTGGTTTAATGGAAATGAGAGTTTCACGGACTTTCCTGCCCGGGCTGGCTTTGAACTGCGATCCTCAGATCTCAGCCTCCTGAGTAGCAAAGCTTATTATTGTAATGGACTTTCAACTTATTTCGCCTTCCACTTCCAGTTGGTATCTGGTCTCAAATATCACTTCCAAAGAAACAACATTCCTTTACCTAAGTAGCTCCACGTCTGGATGTGTCACATCACCCTGATGTCTTCCCTTCATAGTTCTGACCAATAGCACCTGAAATCTAGCTGATTTATGTACTGACTTGTTTGTCCCAGTATCCCACTACTAGACTGTCCTGAATTTCTGCTTCCCAATGGAAAAAGGTTCAATGAATATGATAATGAAATACCCTTGGGGGGCTGGGAAGGTGGCTCAGTGGTAGAGCGCTTGCCTTTCATGCCTGAGGCCCTGGGTTCGATTCCTCAGCACCACATAAGCAAAAAGAAAAAAGCCAGAAGTGACGCTGTGGCTCAAGTGGTAGAGTGCTAGCCTCAAGCTGAAGAGCTGAGGGACAGCACCCAGGCCCGGAGTTCAGGCCCCACGACCGGACCCCCCCAAAAAAAGAAAAAAGAAATACCCTTGGTTCAGGGAATGCCTTCCTCCCTATTTGCCTTTTATATGTTATCTTTAGATGTAGTGGGGCTTAACTTCTGAAAAGGGAAAAGGTTAGAAGCCAGAAGGAGAAAATTTACTTATTTAAGGAGAGCAAGATGGTCTGGAAGTGATGGCACAGAATACGGCTTTGGGGTGTAGGCAGTTTCTGTTCCCCAAATCTGGACATCATGCTCCTCCACTTCCCATGTGCTCAGATCAGAAGTAGGAAAAAGAGGAGTTGGGTGAGGTGGCTATTCAGGAGGCTGAGATTTGGAGGATCGAGGTATGAGGAAAAAAGTTGAAGAGAACTCTATCTCAACAGAAAAAGCTAGGTACAGTGGTATACATCTGCTACTCTAGCTAGGATTGGAAGCATATCTAGGAGGATCAGTGTCTAAATCTGCCTGGGCAAAGAGCAAGACCTGTCTCAATCATAGCTCAGCAGTACAGCAACTGTCTAATACTCACGAAATCCTGAGTTCAGACACCCCCAAAAAGAAAAATAAAAAAGGCTGGAGATGTATCTTAGCGGTAGAGCATGTGTTCAGTATGTGCAAAGTTCTGGATTCTAGTCCAGCAGCAAAAAAGAAAGAGAAGAAAGAATAAAAATATCATAAAGACCTAGGGTGGAGGGAAGAGAGTTGTGTAATCACCTGTTACCCTAGAGCACCTAAGCGTCAGTAATTAGCAACTTTTCTTTACCTTATTAGAGCCAGCTGGGACCCTAAGCGGTATTAAAGCATTGAACAGATGAAAAAGCTCAGGCCCCTAACAGAAGTACCTTAAAAAGACACAAAGCCAGGGTACCAACAGATCCCATTTTAGCAATGCCTCCAAGCACTGTGTGTGGCTCCCCCCAGTGGTCAGGAGGTATGCATTCAGATTTTTGAGGTTTGTATCTGAGGGGGAAAAAAATAAAACTACTTTAGACTCTATATGAGGGTGTAGATCCAAATAACCTCTGCCTAAGGCTGGCCAAAGATGGCATGAACTGCCTTAGGAGTAGCAAGTTTCCCAATACAAAGTGAATAATAGTTACTGTTAAAGTAACATTTGCACTCAGGGCTCAAACCTGTAAGCCTACCTACACAGGAGGCTGAGATCTGAGGATGAGGTTCAAGCCAGTCCAGGCAGGAGAGTCCAAGAGGTTCTTATCTCCAATAAGCTACTCAGAAAATACTAGAGGTGGTGCTATGGCTCAATTGGTAGAGTGCTAGTCTTCAGTAAAAGAAGATTAGGGACAGTCTCCAGTACTGGCACAAATAAAACCCAAAAACCAGGTACCCTGTTTAAGCACTTCATTTTGTTAAACATTAAATCGATTTTTAATATAAGCTTGGCTCTGGTGGCTCACACCTGTAATCCTCACTCAGGAGGCTGAAATTTGAGGATCAAGGTTCAAAGCCAGCGAGGGCATGAAAGGCCGTGAGACTCATATCTCCAATAAACTACTCAGAAAACTGGGAGTGGTGCCGTGGCTCAAGTAGTAGAGCGCTAGCCTTGAGCTGAAGAGCTGAGGGACAGCACCCAGGCCCCATGACTGACAAAGAAAAATAAATAAAAATTAAGTATATTAAACTTGGTAGTACCTCTCAACAACTCCGTAGTCTGTTTTGTTTTTGTTTTTTTGTCGGTCCTGGGTCTTGAACTCTGAGCCTGGGCACTGTCCCTCTTCATAGTACCTACCACTTGAGCCACAGCTCCACTTCCGGTTTTCTGGTGGTTAATTGGAGATGAGAGTCTCATGGACTTTCTTGCCCAGGCTATCTTTGAACTGTGATCCTTAGATCTCAACCTCCTGAGTAGCTAGCAGCTGTCCCTGGGCTTCTTTTGCTCAAGGCTAGCACTCTACTCCTTGAGCCACAGTGCCACTTCCAGCTTTTTCTGTTTATGTGATACTGAGGAACTGAACCCAGAGCTTCATGTTAGGCAAGCACTCTACCACTAAGCCACATTCCCAGCCCCAAGCCTCATTTCTTTTTTTTTTTTTTGTCGGTCGTGGGGCTTGAACTCTGGGCCTGGGCGCTGTCCTTCAGCTCTTCAGCTCAAGGCGAGCGCTCTACCACT